GAGGGAGGGAGGGAGGGAGGGAGGGAGGGAGGAAGAGAGAGGTGAGAGAGATGAGAGAAGGAATATGAGAGAGAGAAGGAATATGAGAGAGAGAGATGAGAGAAGGAATATGAGAGAGAGAGATGAGAGAAGGAATATGAGAGAGAGAGATGAGAGAAGGAATATGAGAGAGAGAAGGAATATGAGAGAGAGAGAGAGAGAGAGAGAGAGAGAGAGAGAGAGAGAGAGAGAGAGATGAGAGAAGGAATATGGGAGATGTGCCATGAGTCCCAGGGAACTCGTTTTGTGGAGCGCATCTACTGACATACGTGGGTACTCCCCCTCGTACAAAGCAAAATTTAACACATTTGAAGCTTAGCTGTGCATGGAGTGAACACGTGTCCTAGGAAAATGAGTGCAGGAAGAATGAATAGAGGAAGAGACCTTCGTGTAGCCAGGATTAGATTTTGCATCTCACTCCAATGATGAACAAAATAGGAACTTTCATATCCCTAAATCAAAGACAGTGGCCTTGATAAGCTAGGAAATGGATGAGGATAAGGAGTAGACTGAAAGAGGTTTTTCAAGAGATGTAGTGTAGTTTACTTCTAAATGTGTTGAGGAAAACATTAAGCCCCATCAACATTACTAGTTGTTTCTTACCTCACTATCAGGTGACTATGTCAATTAGCCCAAAGCATCCAGCAATAACATCCAGTTAAGCAATAACATCAGTAGCCTTTTTGCAGAATGTATTTGACTTATTTAGTGTAGAGAAGATGCTTTGAGGATGTTTCCACAAACTCCTGAAAGCAAACCATAACTCCTTCTGGCACTTTTATTCATTTTCCCTACTGAAATGTCTGTTTATCTATCTCTGTCTCTTTGTTTGTCTCTCTCTCTGTCTCTCTGTCTCTGTCTCTCTCTCTCTCTGTCTCTCTCTCTCTCTGTGAGTGTGTGTGTGTGTGTATGTGTGTGTAGTGAGAAAAAAAGAAGCCATTATGTAAATGGTGCAGAAGAGATAACTCAGTGAAGCTATCCAAGTAGTCAATAGCCATAATAAAGGTCTTAACCTAATTAGTCAATAAGAAAGCAAAAAGAAATCCCTGAATATCCACTGATGTGAATCAAATGAAATGTTTTACCTATATTTCATCGTAATGAAGACATGGAGCAACATAGTTAACACTGCTCATCAAGACTCCAAATACCATTTTAAAATATCTACTAAACAAGTGGGAGGCATGCATAGTTTCAATAATTCTATCCCTAATCATGCATCCAAGAGAAGGTGTTCATACATAAACAAAAAGACAGAAAATATGCACAACATTATTTCTGTTGCTGACAACTGGCAGGAACTCAACTATCTATCAGTAGTGCTATTCTTAAGAAAGCTGTGAAGTGGTCACATGTATATGATACTGTATGTTATTGGTCCTCAGACTTTAACTTGAATAAAATTTAAATGTGCTCTTGTTCAAATTTGGACTTTTGTTCTTCATTCACACAATTTATGATACAAATAAAATCTAAGAACTGCATGTATAGAGAGCTGATTAACCTCTTTCTGTAATACAACAGAACACATAAACTTATACAATAGGAATAGCTTTCACATGTATCTTGAGAGAAATGACAATTAATTGCCTATTAAACACAGTTTGTAATTACAGGAAAACCAGACAAAGTTACTTATGGTGAAAACATAGAAGTTACTACTGGAAGTTTGTTGGAACTGAACTTTTGGGGTGACACAATACTTTGACTGGGTTTCCCAGGTATGCTTATTTCCTAAAAAATCATGAAGCTGTTTATTTAGTGTGCTGGACTTTTCTCCCCAAACATTATGCTTGAAAAATTTATTAAAATAAAATCATGAAATGTGAACGTATATAATTATATATCATTTATAATTAGTAAAATAATATGTATGCATTATACTAGATTGCTTATAGACTTATCATCTGCATATAATATTCAATTATAAACATTGATTGGTTCATTTATATAATTACATATAACTGTCAATTCCTATAAGTTTCAATGAATCTGTTCTGGTATTATTTGAATATCAATTACTTAAAAATAATTGAATGGCAGGTGAAATGATTAAGAATGAAAGAAAAATCTGACAGTGATTCAAGAGTAGTGTCAATCCCTTTTTCGTAATTGGTGGCCAGTATTGTCATATTGACCCTTGGCTATAACTGCCTTTCTATTGTTTTGTAATGACTCATCCAGCATTCACAGTAACTTATCTTATAGTTAAAAACACACAGACACACCAATAACACTATACACACTGAGCAGGTTGTATATGTTGAGGAATATATATGTGTATTTTTATGTGTATGTATACACACATGTATGCCATGCACACACATACAAATGTCAGCAATTAAAGGGAAAAAGCCATGAATTTTAATGACAGCAAAAGGGAAGAATATATGGGTGGGGTGAGAGGGAGGAAATGGAAGGTGGAAATGATGTGATTATATTCTAACCTCAAAAAACAAAAATGAAAAGCTAGGGGGATTATTTTTCACTTGCTACCTTGCAGTCATTTTTCCAAAATGAGGAAGGAAGAAGTTGAACAGGTAGATGAGTTTTCACCAGCCGAGGAGACGGCATGCTTTCCAACAGTTCAATACCTACAAGCATACCCATTAACAAATTGTATTATAAGTGTGGAATCACATGGCTTCTTTGCAATTCATCCTAAGACTTCTGAATCATTTAATGGCTCAGTAAGTTTTTTTTTTCTTTTTTTCTGTTTTGTAGGCTATAAGGCTCAACAGATTCCTATGTTCCTAAAATCTCAAAGAATACAAACCATAGAAAGTCATGGCTAACTGACCTATTTTATCCTCTGTAAGTACAATAGTATAATTATTTTCACATTTGTCTATAAAAATAGTTCCTCAATTGAAATATCTTGATGGAGTAGAAAGAGCAGTTATTAAACAGTCTCTAGGTTTTCTCTTCACCCTTTTATCTTGCTTATAGTATGAAAATATTTCTAAGTCTTTGTCAATCTCTCTCATATTCACATTCTATGATAGAATTATGTCATAATATTCATTTCTATTTTTTCAAGATTTAAAATAATACAAAGCAATGTATTCCCATATTTTTATTGAGTTTATAATTATTATATTAATAATATACATATATATTTAAACTAACTAGTCACATAATTTTGTTGGATTAAATATTGAATTTCCTTGATATAATATGATACACTAGTTAAATAATAAAAACTTCCATATAGTAAGAGATTTAAGCTAGATCAAGATCTCCACATATGTAGATGTTAACTTTGAGGAAATAGGGCCTCACCAAATTCTAACTCCTCTAGACACCGATTTCATAGTGCTTGCTCTTTGCGTATTATTGTTGCCCTTGACTCCCTCACATATACAAAGAACAAAGTAGATTTATTCCTATAATGAAAGGGAATTGTCAGAAAAAAAAATACCATTTGACAGTCCAGGAATTATAAGCTCCATGAAAGGCACTCGTTTATAGATTGCATCCCGTTTACACTTCTCTGCATCCCCGTTGTTATAGATCAAATCCAGTATTTCGCTGATCCAGGTTGTCCCTAAGGAGAAAATGGAAGAAATTAAACATCTTTGTTGAAAATAACATGAGAAAGTCAAGAGAGGGAAAGGTGTTTTGTAATATCTGAAATAAGCAAGCAAACAAACAATATGTGGTTTTTATTTCCACTTCTATTTTTTATCTTACTCCTTCCCAGGAAATGTTCTTCTTTGTTTGTTTGTTTGTTTGTTTGGGAGGTTTTGTGGGTTTTTTTCTTTTGTTTTTTGGTTTTTTGTTTTGTTTTGTTTTTGTTTCTTCAAGACATGGTTTCTCTGTGTAGCCCTGGCTGTCCTGAAACTCACTCTTCAGATCAGGCTGGCCTCAAAATTAGAGATCCACCTGCCTCTGCCTCCCAAGTGCTGGGATCAAAGGCGTGCACCACTACACATGGCAGGAAATGCTCTCACCTATCAGGGATGTAGACATATTTATTAAATGAAATCTAACTTTAAAAGCCTCAAAAAGTAAATAAACAAAGGTGTGTACGAAACAGTGAACAAGTAATAATACCACAGTCCCTTTCCCTCCCCAATACTCCTTGGTTAAAATGGTTTGATTTAAATCAAAATATTCTAAAATACATTTGAGTTGGATTTTGAGTAGGATGGGCAGAGAAAATAGCCAACTTTGCTATTATAGCTTTGAATTGAAGAGACTATCAGATAACGATGATCAACATATAGTGGAGGTGTGAAAAAATACAAAGAACCTTTGCCTGTAACAATCAAGATGCTATATACAACAATAGGACCCATTTGAGCTCAGAATAGTGATTCACTCTGAATAATATGATATAGTGTCTCACAAGTCCTTTGAAAAAGCGCCTATGTCATGTGAGAACATGGTCTGCTCAATTCCCTATATCCTTTGATTATCAGGTGAGTGGGGAATTTCTATTGAAAGAATATAACAAGGAAGAAAAAATACCTTTTTAGCTGTTCTTATAATAGTAACTGAAACACTGAAATGTATTATTTAATTAATCTGTGTGGATAACATTTTAATGAATGAAACATGAATGTTTACATTTTTGGATTGTTTCCAGATACTAGAAATGATATACATGTAAGGCAATGTCACAATCAAACCCAATATTTTGTCTGATAACTTGGGAAATTAATTAAAATAAAAGTAAATGAGAGAGAATGAGAAACATTTGGCCCAAACCACCTTGTTTTCCATGCCTACAATGTCTTATGGTACATTTGTTCACTTCTAAAGACCCTGCAATCATGTGGGTTTTGTGTGATCTTGGTAGATCAGAATATCTTAAATTCTACTTTGTTTGTCTGTCTGTTTGTTTGTCTGTTTGTCTGTTTGTTTGTTTGTTTGTTTTTCCCACTAGGGAATATAAAGGAGAGTTGATATTAGAGTATTTATTAGGTAGGAAGTTGGACTGATTGTGGATCCAAGTAAATTCATAGGATACTTACTGGAATTTCAGAAATGGGCATGAATCTATCTAATCTGAGGCAATATTGTCCCAGCTAACCACAATACTCCTTTAACATGTTAGAAAAACTCAGCTTGAATTAGACAAGTATCTGCAGGCAAGAAAGTTCCTGAGTGTATGGATCATTATCTAACTGCCTACAGTGAATAAATTAAAAGTTCTTACCAGATTTGGGATAGGTGGAGATCAAAAGATCGTCAGGCCGGGCCTCAAATGACTCCACTTGGGACCACTGCTCAGCAATGCTCCAGAAAAGAGGGACACCTTGAACATCCACTAACTCCCTCCTGAAGATATCCAGCTTCTGATCCATTTGGAGAGACTAGATTTTAACAATGGTTAGCATTAATCAACTTTAAAATGTTACTAATTCCCACCAACAGCCAGGGTCTGAGCTGATGTCTGTGGCTCCTGTCACCACCAACGGCTGTGCTTATGGATGTTGGGAGTCTGGACAGGTGAGACCATGTTGGTGTCCAAGGGCCTTGCTGCTGCCTGGGCCATACTGATCTGGGTGGCCTGTGCTGCTACCGGGCCATAGTGATGTCCAGGCCTGAGCTGCTGCCGAAGGCCATGTCTTGGTCTGTGTCCTGCTCCGGCTGGAGTCTGTGATGACGTCCTTGGCTCATGTAGCCACCAGAGTCATAGGAGCCATTTAAAGGCAATGCTGAGTCAGTCCTGTCCCTCACTGGACTAGAGATGGTTGGCCCTGCCCCTCACCAGACACTACAGCATGAGAGCTGACCCTGCCCCCCCGCCCCCATGGAAGAGCTGCCCCACACATACTCAGGAGAGAGGGCCCCATCCCTTACAATAAGCATGGAAAAGTCGGCCATGATGGCATGGGTCTAGGAGATCTGGCTCAGCCCCTCACCTGAGGAGGGGGGTGGTCAAGACAAACTAGCTCAGCTACCACCCACACCCACATCTTAGGCCTTGGGTTGGCCCACCTAATGGTCCTGCTAAATGATAACTGTAGGATCTTTGTGACTCAGAGCAACAGCAGGATATCCAAGCCGAGTTTTGGTGAGGGTTCAGCAATAATGGTGTGCCAAAGGCCAGAGGTCTTGAACCAGACCAATGACTCATTGCAATAATTATTTTATGGCTGGGACTGATTAGACAAAAAGGGTACATTGTGTGACACACTGTTGCACCCAATGCCACTATGATGAATGAAGATGTGTTAGAAAGATGGAAGTGAGAGATGGGGGTTTTTGTTTGTTTTGTTTTTAATTGATTTGGGGGGTTATCTTTTGGGAGGGGGATGCAGCAGGGGTTAGAGGAGGATATGGAGCTACCAGAAGGTGAACAGAATTGGGTTGTATGATGTGAAATTTCTAAAGAATCAATAAAGAATTATGTTATTAAAAATGTTACTAATGTAATAGTAATATGATCTCTCAAACTTCAGAGACATGAACTCAGTTCATGTGTGTTATAATCAAGAGAAGAAAAGAAATTGAACAAATAGAGTCTTGTGAATTTATTTCCATTTATGCTATTCATACACAACGTAATATTACCATACTTCATTTGTGTATCAATACCATGTGCCAATGTCAAGATACATAATAAAGTTACTACATTTCAAATTAGGAGAAGACCGTAAGTCATGAGGCTATCAGTTCACTACAAGTTCTGAAATGGCAAAGCCCTCCTTATAACAAAAATCAAACACAGCCTAAATTATAATGCCCTTCCTTTAAATTTCTTTTTATGCATTTTTAAAATTCTTTTTACATACCAACCACAGTTTCCCCTCCCTTCCATCCCCTCCACACCACCCCCATCCACTCCTCAGAAAAGGTAAGGCCTCCCATGGGGAGTCAGCTAAGCCTGGCACATCAAGTTGAGGCAGGACCAAGCCTTTCCCACAGTGCATCAAAGCTGAGTAACGCATCCCACCGTAGGGAATGGGCTCCTAAAAGCTTTAAATTTCAAGGTAAACTGGGAAGTTATTTTAATTATATATGGCAGGCTACAAATTAAGAGAAAATGTATGTGTGAGGTGTGGACAAGATTTAGCAGAGGAAATAGAAAGCATAAGTAAGACACAAATGGGCATGCCGAAATGCATGAGAAAAAACTCATGAGGTCTCATCCCTGCACAAAGATCTATAGGCAAGTGAGTAAAGCTGGGAGTGAGAGGTGGCCCTCCCTTGGGAAGAGCACACTGTTTGTCTAATGCCAAATGGTTACCCCTGAAAACATACCATGCAAGTATTATATGACTCAACCAGTTATATTTAAGAATACATATGTATATGTAAATTATTATATGCATGCAATAACAATTGATGAAAAGAGAGGCCATTGTTTTGAAAGACAGTAGAGAAGGGTTTAAGTGAGGGTTTAAAAGTAGGAGAAGGAAAAAGTTTTGCAATTAAAATAAAATATCAAAAATAACAACAACAAAAGGATAAAAAAAGAAATAAGCTTGAAGTTAGACAACTCTTGAGTATTCATACATACATATCTTCCACTAAAATCCCTTGAAACACTTGTCATGATTACCCCAGGTTATCTTATATTTTCAGCAAGGTTATAGATAAAGGCACTTCTGTTTATCTCTTACCTGTTATGGGTAAGGGGAGAACTTGAAATATCCCATCAATTGTACTCCAGAATCTACCTGCCTTCGCGTTTAGCATGAACTGAAGGATTCTTTTACTTCATCTAAAAATCTAGCTTTAAAGTTTTTGTAAAACTGAGACTTTGTATGAAGTTGTTAAGAAGATTCCCACTAATAAGTATCAACTACTTGCCAACGCAATTCAAAGCCAGATAGATGTCATTGATCAAAATAAGCAGGCAAAAAAACCCCAGCTCTCTGTATCTGTAAATTTTACATGAGCAGAATCAACCACCTGTGCATTGCAAATGTTTACAGATAGTTTCCTTCTATTATATCATAAAAAAATGATATAGCAACTATGTGCATAACATTTATATATTAGGCATTATAAGTAATATAGACATGGTTCAAACTTTTGACAGGATATAAGTAAGATGTATGCAACTATTGGGTCATTATGTAAAGAACCTTAGCATCTGAACATTTTGAATCTTGCGATCTGGGAACCAATTTGTGTTGAATATTAAGAGACTTACACCCAGATTGTGTTTGAATTACAATTTTTTATCCTCTTTGTGCCTTCAAATTCTCTCAAATCCATCCCTAACTGACATCAACTGGATATATTTTTTAAGGCATGCAGTGCAAAGTGTTGAACAGTTTGTTTCCAATTAAACATTTTACAATATGAGATTTCTTAAAATGATTCAAGGTTATGCAAAACAACTCCAATTTATAACACACACAACATAAATTTACGCGTTGGCACCTGGGTTGTGTTTCCCATCAACACTATCTTCTCTCCCTACCAACAAATAAGGCTTGGAAAACAAGGCATAGCTCTAGTGTTGGGAGCTGTGCAGCCTCATTTCAGAATCAGCATACAAATGTCCAATGGGTCTCCATGAGGCAAGACCATGAAAGACGGTCTCTAACTTGGCAAGGGCCAGTGAACTTTGTGGCAGCGCAGAAATTTGCTGAATCCATAGAGCTTACAGGCTCTTTTCTCTCTCGTTATGGTGTGGATTCTTTGGGTGGTTTTCAGTTTTACTTTGTCAGTCACAGAGGCAACAGCCATAATTTTCCCTGGAAATTCTGTGTTTTCTCCTTAGAATCAGCAGAGGACTAATGCTCCTCAAATTTCTTATCTGGAATTGTTAACTACAACCCCTCATCCTGGGAGCTTTTCTAACTCAATAGAGATAGGTAGGTACATATGAGAAAGCAACACTTGGAACATTAGCCATGTCTCACAGTTCGGGAAAGGAAAGTAAGGCATGAATACACAGGGGAAAAGCCTCAGGAGTACACATAGCACCAACTGTTTAGAGAAAGTTTCCTGGACACCACGCATATAGAATCAATGATAGGATCTAGTCTGATCCAACGTGGAAAACGCATTGGGGAAAATGTTGATTGGATAGATCCATCTTTACCATACACAGGAGCTTATATTGTTGAGAGACGTATGGTATAGTGAGATGGGGAAACAGTGTCTTATCAAAGTATGCCTTTTACAGAGAGATTGAGAGATGGACCCTCTTGTAGAAAAAGGATCTGTATAAAAAATATATCTTGCCAGCATGAAAGAATTGCTTAGGTTTGATATTGTTGACCTTAAAGCACTGTACTCATGTCTATTACTTTTTAACTTTGTAACCACAAGTAGCTGCTGACTGACATAAGTACTAAAAAAGCAGGGTGTGTCTGGCTAAGTATTTAGTTAAGCCTTGTAAAAATCCTGAACTTTATGTCCAGAATAAGGTTATGTAGGGAATGGAAAAATACATTTGGGGAAACACAAAATGGAACAATGGGGGCTTTTATAATGACTATGATGTATTTCTTAAAATATGATGTATCTTAAAAGTCAAAAATAGGAGCCAATAATAAAGCTGTTTGTGTAATCTTAGCAAAAACAAACAAATAAACAAAAAAACACTGTTAAAGTAAAAATAAAGATGGCTTGAGCTATTTGGGGCATGAGTGCAATCCACTTGGTAGTCAGAATTTTTCCTTGCGCTGATGTCCCTTTCCCACCTTAGGACCTGAACCTGAGCAGAGGCTGAACCCCAGCACTATAATGTTTTGAAAAATCATAATCTGACTGCTTTCAGTGTCCCAGTTGTTTTCCCTTGCTATTTCCAAGTTATTCACAGCTTGCTCTATGCCCAAGACATATAGTCATATGCCAATTAAAATAGGGGATAGTTTGAGTAACTCAGTTGATTTTGTCACTGTGAAAGAAATATTAGAGTGCACTTACCCAAACTAAGACAGCTGCAAGCAATGTCCTTGGGAAAGCAAGTACAGTCACTTTGGAAATCAGTCTGGAAGTTTCCCCAAAGGACTGGAAACAGAACCGTCATATGACCCACCTATACTACAAAGGACATTTATTCAATATCCTACCACAGAGACATTGCATATCTGCATTTGTTGCTGCTCTAGTCACAATAGCTGAGAAATTGAATCAATCTAGGTTTTCATCAGCAGGTTGATGAATGAGAAAATGTGGCACATATACACAATGATATATTACTCAGCAATATAGAAAAATGAAATTTGCAGGAAAGGGGATGCAAATGGAAAAAAAAATTATGCTGAGTAATGCCACTTAGGCCCAGAAAGGTAAAACTATGTTCTCTTTCATAAGTGGATCCTAACTTCAAATATTTTGTTTTGAGTGCTTAATTTGGAGTACATGAGGAAACCAGAAATCTAGAAATAAACAAATAAAAAGG